CGAGGTCCAATGGGATGGGCACACTCACTTTCACTAAATAATACTAAAAAGACAATGCCAATTTACATTTGCACAAGAATTGCGCAAGAGTTTCTATTTCCCCACATCCTTGCCAACACTTGGCATTACTCACTTTTCAAATTTTGCCAATTTAATGGATGTTGATTGTTATGCCACCTAAGTGTGCATTTCTTGGATCACTAATGAATTTGAACATTCCTTTCTGTATTATTGGTCTTTTGAGCTTCTTTTTAGTGAATTGACTCTTTGCATCTTTGCCCATTTTTCACTGGGTCTTGTTGACGTGCAGGAATTTCTTGCATATTGTAGATATTAAAGCCTTAAAGTTTTAGGGATTACAAATATCTCCTTTCAGTCTACCATCTATGTTTAATTTTATTAATTTATTTATGTTAATTTTATTTATGGTTTCTAGTTGAAAAGTGAACATCATAATATCTATATTATTTATCTGTTTTGCAGTTGGTGTCTTAGGGTCTTATTTAAGTCTTGCCCCACTCTTGGGACACAGGGAGTCATACCTCTTCCATTTCCTTTATTGGCTTTACAGTTTTGCCTTTCGCATTTTGGTCCTTAATCCACTTGGAGGCCATCTTTACGTGGATGTAGAAGTAGAGACCCAACTAAATTTTCTCTCAAAACTATGATCTAGCATTCCCCACAGTATCTAAACAACCTAGCCTTTCTTCTCTAAGATCTTATGTATTTATTTATTTGAGAGAGAGAGAGAGCACACAAGCGGAGGAGGAGCAGAGGAGGAGGGAGGAGAGGGATAAGCTGACTTGGCGCTGAGCATGGAATCCCATGCAGGGCTCAGTCCCACAACCCTGAGATCACGACCCCAGCTGAAACCAAGAGTTGAACGCTTACCCAAGTGAGCCATGCAGGCACCCTCAAGGTATATTATTAAGTGAAAAAAGTAAGGTGTAGAATAGTGTATATAATATGCTACTTTGGAGGCATCTGAGTGGCTCGGTTGGTTAAGTGTCTGCCTTCAGCTCGAGTCATGACCTCAGGGTCCTGGGATTGAACCCAAGTCAAGCTCCCTGCTCAACAGGGAATCTGCTTCTCCCTCTGCCTCTGCCTCCACTTCCCCTGCTCGTGTGCTCTCTAAAATAAATAAATAAATAATAAACAAATAACTAATAAATAAATAAATAAAATCTTTTTTTTAAATGTTACTTCTGTATAAAAGGCTGGGCAGGATAGAATCCATATTAAATTTACATATATATTTATGTAAATACATAAATATAAAGAAATATGTTTTCTATATATAAACTGTGAAGGGACAGAAGCATAAGAAACTAAGACTTGGTGATTTCTTTGGAGGTCAGGGAACTTGAGCAGACAGGAGACAAGGATGGAAGAGAGATTTTGGCACTTTTGGTTCTGAATCATGTGACTGTATAAACCATTCAAAAAGTCACCTAAAATAAGAGAAAAATTGATGTAGCTCTTTAGCTACATTTCTGTTTTGCCATATAAAAGTAAGAATAAATTTGTCGAATTACTAAAAAGAAAAATCCAGCTGGAATCTTGACTAGGATAAAAACCCTTGCTCTTCACTGCTCTGCTCCTTCCCCAAGTATCAGAAGTGCAACGAAAGAGACAAGGTACCGAAGCCAGGAGACCCTGGTCAGGTGGGTACCAGGGCTGGAAACAGTTAAGAATTCAGGAGAAAAAGTCACCACGTGGTAAATGGCTGTTGTTTTCCTTTTAAACACTGGCCATTCAGAGAACCAAACTATTCCACTCCTTTATGTTTGCCTAACAGTTTTATTAAGGAATTGCATCTCTGGGGAAGAAGGAAAAAGAAGTATTGAATAGAGATCTTTGGAACACCTCCGCCAGGAGCAACGGCTGCTTGATGCCTAAGTGTTGGGTAAAACCTTGTCACCCACCTGGTGGCAGGTTATCTTAACTGCAGAAGGGTGGGGGCTGAGGAAAACTGCCTGTGTCCAGCTGAGTTTACAAATCAAACCCAAGAAGGGCAGCCCAGCAGGCTTTGCAAACTTGTTTGCTTTGTTTATTTTTCTAAAGATCAGTCCAGCTTCTTGTCCTGAAGGATCATAGATTCCAAAGGAGTAGTCAAAAATTAATGAGAACTCCCAGTAATGAGCCTATGACTAAAATTATGGAAAATCCACTAATTATAGACTATGCAGCCACCTAACCAGCACTTGGAGCCAGGCCTCTGTGGGGAGGAAAAGAGGGAAGGTCATGGATGCAACCTGTGCTGGACCGTCCTTCCTTCCTGCTGCCACTGCCCTGCTCCCTGGGCTTGGGGGCCTCACAGCACCCAGCACTTCCTGCCCCTGAGCTCTGACCCTGCACCTCCACCCCCACCAGGTCAGGCTAGGCCCTGCTCCTAAGGGCTCTGTAGGGCCAAATTCCTGGAAACTACAAAATAGGGCCCACAGTGGAGGTGGGGGCCTGTTTTCCCCTCAGTTCTGGGAAGCAGTGGGGGAGGGATGCTGGGAGAAGGAAGAAGGTAGAAAAGGCAGACAAAATGCCCATTATACCCAAGCCCGTCAATTTCCTTTTTTCATCTCTTTATCAGTGTTTGCGACTGAGCTTCTTATCAACAGGAAACGCCTGCCTAAGGGGACGAGGCAGGTCCAGGAGGACTGGACGCCAGGGACTGGGAATTCTGGGTAGTGCGCTGCTGCTGTCCAGCCTCACCGAGTGGCCTCATGATCCCCAGGACCCAGTAAGGCTCTTTGCCTTGGTATCCGGTGAATCCTTAGGTCTGTGCAGTGAGACTGCACACCAGACAGGCCCCGAGGCCAAAAGGTCTGCAGGACGGTGTGTGTGTGGGGTGGGGGTGGGGGGCTCCATCCCTACCCTCTGTGACCGAGGGCAAGTCACCAAACAGCTCAAGCTATGAAATGAGGTTTGCCCTTGGCCCTAAAACCCACCAAACCCCCTCCTTTCTAGCCGAGCAGAGGCCAAGTGACCTGCCAAGGTCACAGGCAACTTAGTGACAGTCACCCCAATTGGCCCTTCTAGTGTGTTTGCCTCGAGCCTTCAGAGGATGGCACTTGTGCTGGGCATCCAGGGCTGGGACCATTAGTGCTTGGCAGAGACTTCCAGACCAAGGGGAGGAGCGGCCCTCTAGCACTGATTGACCTCCTACTACGTGCCAGGTGCTTTAAAAACACTGATCACCAGACCAGGACGGGGCTCCCACATGGGGCTCCCAGGAGAGGGACGGACTGAGGGTCAGATTTCACAGGAGGCAAAGATCACATCTTAGTGCTGAAAATAAACGCCCAAGAGGGATATCTGGGCCAAGCTGGCCTCTATGGGTGGCTCAGAGGAACAGGTTTATCTAGACGTCTTTCTTCAAACTGCCAGAAGCCTGAATCCAGAGTATGGGAACTGGCTGTCCTCCTGGTTAGGAGGCAGGAAGGTTTACGTAGAACAGAGCATGGGCTACCTCGCTCCCCGCTCCTCTGCCCTCCACCTACCAGCTGCTCTCCGGCCGCCACGCTCTGCTTTTGGTGGTGGCCGGGATCAAGGAAATTCCAGTGCGCCTCTTGCCCTGTCCTCGTGTCTCCCTGGACAACCCCACGCTTCCCCCTCACCTCATCACTTGCTCCTGCAGTTGGGATCTAGGTCAGTAAGAGTGGGTGGGTGAGAAAGAACAGAGAAGAGACTCATCCAGACGTGACACCCCGCAGGGCAGCAGTGATAACACTTTAACCTGGAATCTGCCCGAAAATAGACTGTGTGTCTATGACATTATGCAAATTATATGCAAAGTCAAGAAGCCCTCTGTCTCTATTTCTAGCAAACTGAATGTGGCCCTGGTGGAAGCAGCTCCTTCCAAGAGTCGCCCACCTAGAGTGACGCCGGCGCAGATAGCATCAGTCGCCGCCCTGGGAGACTGGACCCAGGACGTGCACCCCTCCGCTCTACCCCCAGGGCTGGGCCTTTGACACAGGGGGACTGTGTGCCTTGGTCCGTTAGTCTTGATGCAAGGGAGGATTCGGGGGAAGCAGAGCACCTTCCTTGAAGGATGATGTGGGGTGGGACTGAGGGAGACTGATGACCCGGACGGAGGAAGGGAACTGACCTTGAGGGCCTGACTACCTTGAGGCCTGGGCAGGAGAAGGGGTGGTCCTCAGCTTGGACGCTCACGCTCTAGACCACCTTCACCTGCACCCCCCGCCCACGTGGGCATGTTACAGACATTCGTCATCCCTTAGGGAGGTTTCTTTCTTTTTTTTTTTGTATTATTTTAATAATAAATTTGTTTTTTATTGGTGTTCAATTTGCCAACATACAGAATAACACCCAGTGCTCATCCCGTCAAGTGCCCCCCTCAGTGCCCGTCACCCAGTCACCCCCACCCCCCGCCCTCCTCCCCTTCCCCCACCCCTAGTTCGTTTCCCAGAGTTAGGAGTCTTTATGTTCTGTCTCCCTTTCTGATATTTCCTACCCATTTCTTCTCCCTTCCCTTCTATTCCCTTTCACTATTATTTATATAGGGAGGTTTCTTATTACACATATGATCCTCTCTCTCTTTGTACAGGTAAGGAAATTAGGAGTCTGGGGTCCCCCAGGAAAGTTGGGCAAAACCTGCAAAGCAGTCAGTGGGTTTTCTTCCTCCACAGGCAGACGGGTTCTCTAGGCCCTACGTGGGGGACCGCGGCTAGGACACGGTGATCTCCCAAGGACTCTTCTAACCCTGGAGGGCAATGGGCCAATTCTCCTTTCTCTGACCCTGGGCCATGCGCAAGCACAGAGAGGACATCAGGGCGGGAATGTACGGACCCGGTCTGCAAGCACACAGGGAGGGGAAAGGCTGCCTTTGTAGGATGCCAGGAACGCTCTCATTTCCCCAAAGCTGGTCTACGAGGTCCTCTGGGAAGAAGGTCACCGCCTGGTTGGGGCAGCGGTGTAGGGGTTCGGGAGCGGGGGCGGTGCGGTCCATGGACACAGGCACCGGGAGGCCTTAGCAGGCTCCAGGCATGAGGTCCGTCTGCGGGGAGCAGGGTGGGCCTTCGGTGGTAGGAAGAATTAGGGTACCCCTTCTGCGGTTCCCTAGGAGGGCCTCTAATACAAAGACGCAGGTTTTTCTAGGCTGGGAAGTCGGATGGATGAGTCCCCTCTTTCAGTACCTTTCTCCCCCAGGTTCTTCCTTGCCCCCAGGGGCAGGAGCGGGGCTGGGATAGGGGGTGGGACAGGTGGGGGTGGGACAGGTGGGGGGGTCATCCTTGCAAGCCCAGGATGCCAAGATGTGACCCCAAGGCCTGCGCGCCCCTTCCCATTCTAGGGGGGCGAGCGCTGACTCCAGGCAAGGTGGGGGGCCCCCCTGGGGGAGGGAACCGAGAACAGAGACTTGAGGCGGCCGGGTCCACGCGGCCTCCGCGCAAAGCCGCGGAAAGCTCCTCGCTCGGCGGCTCTCCGGGGACGGTTCCTGCCAACCCGCCGCCGCCGCCGCCGATGCTCCCGCCCGGGAAGGCCCGCGGGTCCCCGCGCAGGGGCGGGGCGGGCGGGGCGGGCGCGGGGCCGCCGGCAGCCAGCAGAGGGCGCTGCCCCCAGGCTGCTCCCCGCCCGGACCGACCGCGGCCTGCGCGCCCCGGGGTCGGGGCTGCGCCAACGTGACCGGCCCGGGAGGGAGGCCCGAGGCCGGCCCCGCTCCGCGTCCCCCTGCGCCGAGCCGCTGCAGAGGCGCCAGCCCCACAAGACTCCGCAGGAGCTCGAGATGCAACCGTGCTTTATTGAGGACCTACTAGGTGCTAAGCACGAGCTAAGCGCGCCCACGGCCAGTACCTCCAGGTAAGAGGCTGCATTTGGGCCCGGGGACACCTGCCTGCGCCCACACAGGAGCTCCCGGGGCTTCCTCCCCTCCCGAGCCACCAGAGCCACCAGCCAGGCTCACCCAGCGCTGCGGCCCCTGACCTCAGACCTTCTCCCCTCGGGGATTTTCCAGCCTCCACGGCCTTCAGATTCTGGCTGTGGAGTCCTCCCAGGAGAGCTTTGCCAGAGAAAATCTGGCACGAGGGTGGGGGGCGGGTGGAGGTGGGGAGAGGGGGTTTCTGGCTCCTGGGCTGGGTGGGTTCCAGGGTCGGGAAGATGCGAAAGCGCCCCCCAGCCCCCAGCTCATCTGAGGACCCACCAGGCCCCTCTCACTTTTTTGTTTTCACCCAGTTTCACTTCCTGGTTCTCCTGGGCGCCTTGCACAACCAGGGGAGATTGGCCTGGGAAAGTGCCCCCGGGGCGGAAGCGGGGCAAGCAAGCCGCGGGCGGAGGCTGTGCTGGGTCATTTACGCAGGAGGGGAGGAGGCTGTGTTTGTCACCTCCGGGGGAGAACTGAGGGTCCTCCTCCAACCCTGCCCCAAGGGCTGCCATGCCAGGTCTTCCAGAGCTTGGGACTGACTGTCCCTGTCCCTGGCCTGAGCCCCCCCCTCCCCCCTCCCCATCCCCCGACCCTCAGGCTCGACCTCCAATCCACCCACCTCCAGTCCATCCACCCGCCCAGGGTTTGGGGTAACGTCTTCATTGCATGGACATACACCCTTGACATTGCCAAATGCTGAACTTCCCGTGTGTTTCTGCACCGCCACCAGGTTCTTCCTAGACACACACTGTCTGGGGCCTGGCCAAGGCTGTGGGCCTGGGCCTGGGCCTGGGCCAGGGGCCAGTGGAGAGCAGGAACCTGGGTGCTGGAGGCTTGCTGGCTGGAGCCAAATTTCTTCTGAGCCTTGGAGGCCCTGTGGGAAGGGAGGCCCTTAGCTCTACTCGGTCCTGGATGGAGAACGCTAAGCCACGGAGTGGGGTGAGTGGCTGGTTGGCCTGCCAAAAGGCCCAGGGCTGTCTGAATCCAAGGATGGCTGCTGGTTTGAACTAAGGCAGGAACTGGAGCTTGTAGAATCTGTCTACGAGGCCTTTCAGGCACTCCTGGCCTCAGATAAAGTTACTTTCAAATCCCCACCTTGGGGCAAATTGCCAGGGGCTGGGGCAAAAGGAGCCCAAGGGCCAGATGAACGGATCTCTGACCTGGGCTGAAATTTCAAAGACAATTAGAGCTGAAAAAAACCTCAAAGGGCATCAGGACTGGATCTCAATATGTAGATGAGGAAACAAAGGTCCTTGAGAGTGAAGGCCTCTTTCTTGTCACCTAGGGCAATTGCCCAGGACCAGGACGTGGGTCTCCTGACTCCCAGCGGAGCCATTCCCCAGGTCTGCTCGACTTCAACATCTCTCTGGTTCTGAAAGTCCTGGGCCTCGTCCATCTGACCTACTACCTGACCCACTGCCCTCTGACCCTGCCACACCTGCAGCAGGACTCCTTGGGCTTAATGCTGTAATAAGTGAGCTAGCACAGGGGTGGGGAAAGGGCCCAGGATCAGGCCCCAGCTCTCCCAGGCAGCTGGCACTCAGCTCACCCAGAAGACAGAGGCCCTAGGCCTCATGGAGCTGAGATAGAAATCCACAGAGAGAAAATGATGGGCCCTGGGTGTAGGGCTTATGCCAGAGGCAGGCTGTCCACCGAAGGCTAGACAGGGCCCTGGTCACCCTGGCAGCTCCGGTGGGGCCGTGAGGTTGACCGAGGGCAGGGGGTAAAGTGCAGGCCCGGGCTCTGGGCCCAGGACTGGGATTCCCTGGCCCGGCCACCCTGGCTCCAGGGCCTCTTTTGCATTCTGTCCTGGGGGTGGTAGGGGCTGCGCCCAGGGCATGAGGGTGGGGAGGGAGCCAGGCGTCAGGGAGCCTGCTGCTTTGAGCAGGCCAGACGGCGCGGGATCGGGTTTCAGCCCAGCTGTATTTTTGGCTGGGTGAGCCGGCGGGGCAGGCAGGGCCGCCCAAAGAGGGGCACCCTCCTCCCCAGCACACATACTCACACTACCTCTACCCAGATAGGCCGCGTCTGCCGCCCACCCCACGCGCGCTCTGCAGGCAGAGGGGAGTCCGGCTTCAGGCCTGGGGCTAGTGAATCACTTTGGGCTTCTCGAGACCGTTGCTCAGTTTCTGAAGTGTCTTCTTGATCCGCAGCGCAGTGAGGCGGGCGGAGGGGTTGGGGTACCAGCACTCCCGCATCATCTGAGCCAGGCCGGAGAGGACCTGCAGAGGAGAGGAAGCGGAGACTCGGGTCAGGGAAGCTGAGCAGGCGGTGACACGGAGGGTGCCCCGGGACAGAGAGACAGAAGCAGGACAGAAAGGACGGGAAGAGGAAGATGGGAGTGTTGAGGATGGAGAGAGGAAAGCCTGCGAGGTGGGGGGGGGAATGGAGGCAAGGATGAGAGGAGAGACCCAAAGATGGAAGATGAAGGCAGTGGGGACGGGGGAAGGCAGCAGGCAGGGCAGGAGGAGAGCTGGAACTCAGCTTTTCGGGCGCACCCAGGCCCCCTTTGGTGAGGAGTGTCTGTGGAACACCTTACACCCACCCCACCCACCTCCCCCAAGATCCGAGGATTGGGAGATGTGCAAGCCCGGGGGCTCCCCTCTGCTGTCAGACTGGACCCAGCGTGGAGGGCAAGGACTCCCCAGCGCCTCCCCCAGCCCAGCCTGGGCCCCCTGGAGGAGTGTCCAGGATGAAGCCATCCCAGGAAGCTCAGTGGCCCCAGAGTGAGCCAGCTTCTCCTCCATCCCAAAACTCAAGCTGGCCTGAGTGTACCTGTGTGTGCCTAGCAGCGCATATATGGGGCCGTTTGTGGATAAGCATGTACAGAAACACGCGTGTGTCTATGCACATGTACATACATACATGTACATTCCTTCCTTCCGGAAACACTGGTTGAGCACTCATTTGTGTGCCAGCCCGGGGACAGATAACAGGGATATAAGGCGGCAAGGGGGGACACGTTCTTCGTCTTCAGAGGGCCGAGAGTCTGGCATGGATGCGCATGCCTGTGTATCTGTGAGGACGTGTTCGTGCAGAAGCGGGTGCCCGCCTTTATGCGTCCACGTCCACGTGTGTATGTGTCTGATATGCATGTGGAGCGTTTTGAGGAAAAAACGAAAACAGCTGCAAGTTCAGAGCAAGAAATGAGGCAGAGAGGCTGACTATTCGCCGCGAGATAGAAGGTTCTGAAATATCTCCGAGTAACCCAAATCTCGGGGGGTCCGCAGGCCAGGGATGTGGGAGGGAGGACCCAGGGAGGTACCCTGGCATCTCTCCTCCGGAATCCATGCAGGTGAAGCAGAGACCTCAGGCACGTGTTCCCGGGGCCAGAACTCCCAGCTGTGAGCCCCTTCCCCATGGCATCCCCAGCCCCCCCGCGGAGGCCTCACCGGGTCTGCGGCCAGCCGGTTGGGGATGGTGGGAGTCTGCTGATCAACACACACCACCTTCTTCATGTCCTCGAAGCTGGGATCATTGGGCACCACGTCATAGAAGGGTGGCCTGTAGTCCTCCACGATGCCTGAGGATGGCGGGGGCACGGACAGTCACTTGGCACCCCAAGAAGACCCATTCCATCCCGGGGAGAGCCTTGCCCCACCTTCTGCACGTTGTCTTACCCGTGTCACCCCCGAGAGGGCCACGATAACATCATCAATATATTTTCAAAGAATAAGGATTACGGCTGTTGATTTTGCACTCACCAGGTGCCAGGCATTGTGCTATGAACACTTTCATGCTTTATCTCGTTCGTCTTTGCGACAACCCCACGGGTATTACCGTAACCTCTATTTTACAGATGAAGAAACTGATGCTCAAGGAAGTGGAGCCCAAGGTTACACAGCCAGGAAGGGCAGAGTCAAGGCCTGAACTCCTCTCGTCGATTCCTAGGCCGGACCCTGTTCCGGTCTCTCCACGCTGCCTCCCACCCCGGGCCTGGGCACCGCTCCCAGGCCCCAACTATCACAGATGCCCGATAAAAACATGGACTGGGCACGTACGCTGTGCCAGGCACTGTCCCGACTGCACTGCATTAAATCCTCACAGCAACCCCGTAAGTCGCACTACCAGCTCCACTCTATGGACAATGCAGCTAAGGCCAGAGGGGTGAGGAAACTCGTCTAAAAGCACACAGGTAGCGCGTGACTGAGCTGAGATTTAAGCCCAGATGGTCTGCACATTCTTGACCTGGGAGCAGTGCCGAAGGGAGGGGAGCTGGCCTGCTGCTGGGGGGACAAGGTGGCGCGAGGAGAAAGGACTTTTACCCAGGTCCACGTAACAGCCACCCCGTCCCAGAGACGGCACAGGCCTCGCTGCGTCCCCTCGCCATCCCTTAGCGGAGCCTTCTCAAAATGCTGCCTGGGGAGCCGCCCACAGCTCAGGCAGGAGAGGCCAGGCCCAGAGAAGGTGCCCCGGGCACCCTCCTGCTCCCGGCCTGAGGCTGGGGGCCGTGGCCACGCAGCCGCAACCTCAGTAGAGCCTCCGCCAGCTGTTCTCCCCGTGGCGGGCTTCCAGGCCGGCCCCTGTGCCGCTCCGGCCCTAATCAGCGCTGCACAGAGGCCTGAGCGTGTCTAATGGGCCTTTAATCAGCGCCGGGGCTGACACCAGATTACAGTGTTTATAATGCGCCACGGATCTGTGTGGGGTTTTCAGAGCTTCCCTCCGCCCCAGGAGCCTGCAGTCGGCCTTCCCCCTTCCCGTAGGCCCTGGCCGGCGCAGCCTTCCCTTCCTGCCCGCACCGGCCCAAGGGGCCTCCACTCCCTCCAGGTGTCCCTTCCGCAGCCCCAGTCTTCAGAGCCTACGCAGGGAGTTCACATCTGAAGGGCCAGGAATCTGAGCCCCTAGAGAGTCTCCCACAGGGACTGGTGACCCCCCGGCCTCCACCTGTTGATGCTGAGGGTAAATGAGGCCTGGCATGGGGCTGGCTCCCAGCAGATGCTCAGGAAATGAGAACGTCCCTGTCCCCAAGGAACAGAGCGCTCCAGTCATATCTTGAGGTCGTTCCCGACCTGTCGGGGCCTCCAGCAAGCCCTCCCCAGGGACAGCCTGACGAGTCTCTCCACCTGGTCCAGAATACCACCCGTCATCCATACACGCACACACCCCCCCAAACCCGGGCCCGGAGGGCACGGGCCACAGGGCTGCCCCCGTACTGGCCAGCAGGACTGAGGTCCCCCCACCTGCTCCCGGCCCCTCCAACGGCAGCCAAAGTCCCAAGGAGGCAGCGATAAGCAGGCAGCGCGGACACTCTCAGCGCCCGCATTTCTGTAGCAAAGCACCCGTGGCCTCCGCGTCACACCGCCTGGTTTCGGACCCCGGTGCTGCCCCGAGCCAGCTGCAATTCTCTACCTCGGGACCCTCACCTGGGAAGGGGCTGGTCTCACATTATTACGATAAACTGCCACTGATATTTACTGGGCCCCAGAGTAGCTCCAGATCCCGCCCGAGGATCATCTCGACAACTAGAACCATCTTCATTCTCGTTTTCAAGTGAAATTGAGGCCCAGGGAGGTTAAGTAACCTGCCTGTGGTCGGGGGGCAAAACCGGGAGCGGAATCCAGGCAGTCTGATTCCCACCGCACGCTCTTGACCACAGGCCGATGCCAGCTTTGCCAGCACGGGATGTCGAACTAAGATACTACACGGACACAGCATGACATCTGGCACACGTTTAGGCTCAAGAAAGCTTAGTTGCTCCTGATATTTCTGTTATTACTACTTATCCAAGATTTCACAGCCAGCCTCCCTCCCGTCACAGCCAGGCTCACGGATTCAGAGTCACACCTCAAGGGTCATTCAGTTGAGCCCTCAGGCCACGGGCGCCAGCCGTGGCAGGAAGGCCCCTGTCTCCTGCCCGTCTGCCTGTCCACACGTCCGCCCCGTTCCTCCCTCCCCA